TGTAATGGTAAAACAATTATACTAAAATGACAAAATACAGACTCACTTATGTTGTTTATTGCTGTCCCTAAATGCCAATGAATTACAAAAATCCTGATGTTCATCAACCGAACACTTACAGGAATCCCAGCTGCTCTCACTGTGCATCACAGGTCCACCCAGCTCAATGTGGAAACTTGATAAAAGGAGCATAAAGTGCATACAGGACATGAGGCTACAGAGGCATCAACAAAACAAAGTAAAAGAAGAAACAGTGTTGGTTGGGGAGTCACTGTCTTAAACAATGCTCAGAGCATCAATGTTAGTGACAACATGGGAAAGCAGTGGAACTCCCTCCATGTGTGATGTGTAGTCTGGACATTACACACACACATGCATAAACACGCACACACAGGAGTATGAAACTTTTTTCACTTTGCACTAATTTCTCTGCATCAGAGTTGATCCTAAGACAAAACTACACAGCCTACTGGAAGACCTCAAGAAGCAAGAAAAATCTGAAAGAAACACTCCAACATTACACCTGAAGGAGCTAGAGAAGGTTGATGACTAAAGCCTAAATACAGAAGAAGGAAGGAAATAGTAAAGATTAGAGGAGTAATAAATGATATAAAAACAAAACAAAACAAAAAAACAAACACAGAACAGAACAAAAAACCAAGGTCTGGTTTTTTGGGGAAAAAAAAATAAAATTGAGAAACCTCTGCCTAGGTTTATCAAAAGGAAAAGAGAAAACACAAAATAAATGATATCAGAAATCAATATATTTCTCTGTGGAACAAACAGGATTTTGGAGGGATAGGAGGGGCAGGATGGGGAAACTCAGTGATGGGCAGTGAGGACACATGATGGGTGAGCACTGGGTGTTATACGCAAATAATGAATTGTTGAACAGTACACCAAAAACTAGTGATGTACTATATGGTGGCTAACTGAACATAATTTTAAAAGGAAATTTAAGGAGATAATGTGAGAAAATATATACTTAAAGCTAGAATTCTAGGAGGAACATTTCCCAATCCAAATCCTGAAATTATACTCAAAATTTCTGTTCAAACTAACATCCCAGGGGAGATATAAAGTGATTTATGACCAAAACAGGGCAATAGCTCTCAGGGTGGTGTGGCCCAGGAAAGGACACTGGAGAGGCACCTGGTCGTGAACTGGGAGTCATGCAAGAGGGTGCATGTGTGAGCCCATGCCTTGGTGCACAAAATGGCTACATCACACCTGGGCAACAGCTCTCCATAGGGATGTGACACCTGACAGGACACTGGATCAGCACCCAGCATGACCTGGGAGGTGCGGAAGAGGGTACACTCACGAGCCCACACCCGCTAACAGTTGCAAAGTCAGAAAGCATGGAGACACTCTTGGGTCCCTGGAACTTTCCCCAGAGAATTGCAGTGCACATCAATAACGCACATCTGGGGATTTGGGTACACATAGAAGTAGAGATGGGTTGACCTGAGGTGGTGGTGGGGGTCCGGGCCACCACACTGTGGCTCTGGGATGGAGCTTGCCACAGGGCCATGTTTTCTCTGACCCTCTGAGGAGAAGCAGAAAGCCACCAGGGAAAAAGGATCAGACTCAGGGTCGGCTCCCATTCAGCCAATGACCCTGACAAGAGTAGGGCAACTCCACCAGCGCAAAGATGCCTGAGAAGCCAAGCAGCAGGCCCCTCCCCCAGAAGTCAGACCGGAAGGACAGGTGAATGATAAGGTTACTTCCCACAGGAACTGGAAACTCCAGCACCAGGGGAAAATTACATAGGGAGCTCCAAGTGTTCCCTCATGACTTGCTTATACTCAGGATAAAATTTTACATTTCTTTTTTCTTTTCCTTGCTTTTTCTTTTTTACCCTGTTCCCATTTCAAGCAGTCTTATTTCCCAAATTCAGTTTTTAAATTTCAAATCTTCAATTTATAGATTTAAGCCCCACATAATCCCATTTTTCCCTCTATTCAATTTATATATAAAATAAGTTCTGCTTTCCTTAACGTTTTCAAATATAGTGTCTTCTAACATATACCAAAAATCAATCAGGAACAGGGAGATCGAGACAAGATGGTGGAGGTGTTGCAGACACAGTTTAAGCAGGTCCCTTGAATTTAGCTGCATATTTATAAAACTATTTTGAAAAGCCATGAAATAAACCTGAGATGTAAGGATATATATGTGGATTCTACAAAAATTTGCTCTGTTTGACAAGATGTCTATTATACCAGCTCAGTTTTTCATAGGCCATTTTTAACTTGTATTTTTACAAACCTATATTTTTAACAGGTATGTGTTTTATTTTAGCAAGTTGTTCACTCTGCTCAGTTTTACCTTATTATATATCCATCTTTTAATTTTCTAGTGATTTTGAGATTTAGTGTCCTCTAACATACAGATCAAAATTCACCCAGGAACAACTGAAGCACTCTATTTTGTCCAAAATGAAAGTTACAGCCACTCTTGCCCTCTTTTTTATTTTCTACTCTGTATATATTTTATATATAACTTTTAAACTTTTTTCAATGTTTTTAATTTTATTTTTTTAAGTGTTCCAAGATTCATTGTTTATGCACCACACCCAGTGATCCATGAAATACGTGCCCTCCACAATACCCACCACCAGGATCAACTAACCTCCCACCCGCCTCTCTTGCAAAACTCTCAGTTTGTTTCTCAGAGTCCACAGTCTGTCATGGCTCGTCTCCCCCTCCAATTTCCTCTAACTCCCTCCTCCTCTCCTTCTCCCACTGTCCTCCGTGTTATTCCTTATGCTCCACAAAAAAGCAAAACCATATGATACTTGACTCTCTCTGCTTGACTTATTTCATTCAGCATAATCTCTTCCAGTCCGGTCCATGTTGATACAAAAGTTAGGTATTCATCCTTTCTGGTGGAGGCATAATACTCCATACTATATATGGACCACGTCTTCCTTATCCATTTGTCCATTGAAGGGAATCCTGGTTCCTTTCACAGTTTGGCGACTATGGTCATTGCTGCTATAAACATTAGGGTACACATGGCCCTTCTTTCACTACATCGGTATCCTTGGGGTAAATACCCAATACAGCAATTGCAGGGTCATAGGATACCTCCATTTTTAATATCCTAAGGAATTTCCACACTGTTCTCCAAAGTGGCTGCACCAACTTGCATTCCCACCAACAGTGTAAGAGGGTTCCCATTTCTCCACATCCCCTCCAATATATGTTGTTTCCTGTCTTGCTAATTTTGGCCATTCTAACTGGTGGAAGGTGGTATCTCAATGTGGTTTTAATTTGAATCTCCCTGATGGCTAGTGATGATGAACATTTTTTTCATGTGTCTGATAGCCATTTGTATGTCTTCATTGGAGAAATGTCTGTTCATATCTTCTGCCCATTTTTTGATATGATTATCTGTTTTGTGTGTGTTGAGTTTAAGGAGTTCTTTATAGAACCTGGTTATCAACCTTTTGTCTGTGTTGTCATTTGCAAATATCTTCTCCCATTCCGTGGGTTGCCTCTTTGTTTTGTTGACTGTTTCCTTTGCTGTGCAGAAGCTTTTGATTTTGATGAAGTCCCAAAAGTTGGTTTTCGCTTTTGTTTCCTTTGCCTTTGGAGACATACCTTGAAAGAAGTTGCTGTGGCTGATATCGAAGAGGTTACTGCCTATATTCTCCTCTAGGATTCTCATGGATTCCTGTCTCACATTGAGGTCTTTTATCCATTTTGAGTTTAACTTTGTGTACGGTGTAAGAGAATGGTCAAGTTTCATTCTTCTACATATAGCTGTCCAATATTCCCAGCACCATTTATTGAAGAGACTTTTTTCCACTGTATATTTTTCCTGTTTTGTCAAAGATTATTTGACCATAGAGTTGAGGGTCCATATTTGGGCTCTCTACTCTGTTCCACTGGTCTATGTGTCTGTTTTTATGCTAGTACCATGCTGTCTTGGTGATCACAGCTTTGTAGTAAAACTTGAAATCAGGTAACGTGATGCCCCAGTTTTATTTTTGTTTTTCAACATTTCCTTAGTTATTCGGGGTCTCTTCTGATTCCGTACAAATTTTTGGATTATTTGTTCCAGCTCTTTGAAAAATACTGGTGGAATTTTGATCGGAATGGCATTAAAAGTATAGATTGCTCTAGGCAGTATAGACATCTTAACAATGTTTATTCTTCTGATCCAAGAGCATGGAATTGTCTTCCCTCTTTTTGTGTCTTCTTCAATTTCTTTCATAAGTGTCCTGTAGTTCCTTGAGTACAGATTCTTTACCTCTTTGGTTAGGTTTATTCCCAGGTATCTTATGGTTCTTGGTGTTATAGTAAGTGGAATCTCTCAATGTGGTTTTGATTTCAATGTCCCTGGTGGCTAGTGATGATGAACGTTTTTTCATGTGTCTGATAGCCATTTGTATGTCTTTGTTGGAGAAGTGTCTGATCGTGTCTTCTGCCCATTTTTTGACAGGATTATCTGTTTTGTATGGGTTGAGTTTGAGCAATTCTCTATAGATCCTGGATATCAGCACTTTGTCTGTAATGTCATTTGTGAATATATTCTCTGATTTCATGGGTTGCCTCATTGTTTTGTTGACTGTTTCCATTGCTGTGCAGAAGTTTGTGATCTTGATGAAGTACCAAAAGTTCATTTTGGCTTTTGTTTCTTTTCACTTTGGAGAAATATCTTGAAAGAATTTGCTGTGGCTGATATCGAAGAGATTACTGCCTATGTTCTCCCATATGATTCTGATAAATTCCTACCTCACATTGAGGTCTTTTATACATTTG